GTGTGTGTGTGTGTGTGTTGTGCACACATGGGACCAAACCCCACATACAGGGGAAACATTGAGTCATTGTCTTGTGTTCCAGTGGTTTTCAAACTGTGGGTCAGGACCATAGACTGTATATATAAAGGTCAGGACCCAACACCCGGTGTCTATAACACTGGTCATAGCAGGATGAAAATAAGTCCCCAGATTGTTCTTCAGAAACAGATGATGGCTTTTAACTGGAAAATCACAATTCCGCATGTAAGCCTCCGCACACTTTGGATTATATGGTATACCACTATTTTGGGTTGAGTGTTATATTCTGTGTGTGGAGAAACGATTGTGACTCTGGAAGACAGACAATAGAATGGTGCGGTGATGACGTTTTATTCCGAGCTGACATGGAAGTAAGCAAGGGCTCCCTCAACTTTTTGGGGATTTTGGATTATAGCAACAAAAAAAAGAAGCTCTGTGGCAAACAAATGTGCATGAAATGTACACGTTTTGTTCGTCAGCTTTTTTCTCCACGTTTTGACACAGTGTTTGATGCGCAAATGCAATCGGCAGTAAAAAGCTAACCTTGGCTAAACCTATCAAATAACTACATCACACTCGCATTGCTGCTTATCACCACCGCTAAGATAAAGTAGGCTAATGATGTTATGGCATGATAAAGTTTAGTGGTCTCAATTAGTCAATAGTTAGCAACTGACATTTTTAAGACGCATAAAAGCTGTAGACGTTAACTATTAAAAGCTGTAGATGTTAACTGTTTGGGGTCTTTACTGACGTATTTTATGCCGTAGAACAAAACATCACAAATATATTCACATTGTGTTTACTCCAGACCTTATTTCAGGCATCTAACCTAAAACACATTCAAAACACAGTTGACTTTGAGACGATGGAATCGGAAGTTGTAAATTGCTAACACACTTCCGGCAATACAGACAAACTGAAGCCTTTAAGCTGTACTTAAATGTTTATCCTACCGTGTGAAGATAAACCACCAATAAAACTTCTACTTTTAGTAAAAACAGACCTCTTATTCAAATCATCTCTTGGAAATGGAATGTCTCATCAAAGTGAGAACACTTTCCATTCAGGCAGGAATTTTAATGTGTTCAATGTGTTCAACATGTTGAGAACATTTCAGTAGTGCCTAGATTTGCAACTATGCAAGATGTATTACTGAATGGGTTCCGGGGGTTATTTAACATGTGATTGTAACAGAAATGTTGTTTGTTCTCTCTCCCTGCAGGCTTTTCTTTGGGACTCTGTATCCTGCGTACTACTCTTACAAAGCTGTCAAAACAAAAAATGTCAAGGAATATGTAAGTAAATACAAATCACTGAGTGTGGATGGCCTGCTTGATGTTTGCATGTTTCTACAATGCACACTCACATAGACTTAACCACTAAGCCCAACCTAAGATCAAATAGAATTTTTTAACAAAATGCCTCGATACAAATATGCAAAGATATTGCAGGGTTGACCATTGGTCATTTTCCTGTCTTTGGTGTGGTAGATGGCCCATCTCCTGTAATGAGTCTCTTGTAGCCAGTAAGAGTCATGTGTTCATGTCCTGTGGTATAATGTGCAACAGTGTGCAATCTAAACAATCAAGTTGTTGGCTTCAAGTGAATAATTTACATCCACTCCATCACTTGGTATAAATACTACCCAAGATACTACCCAAGATACAGTTGGAGTTCATTCCAACCATTTAACTATTGTTTTGTTTTAGTTTCGATGAGACAAAAAACTAATGGTTCAGATAAGGGCACCCAGTTAAGATTTAATAAGTGCAAATAAGTGACAGGAAACTTCTTTAACTTATCCAAACCCACTCTCTAGTTTACTTATGAAACTGATTAAAATAAATCTCTTTGAAGGATTTCATAATTGAATTGTTATCATAATACATTTCTAGGGGAAAACAAAACTGTTGATAGTTATGTAAATACCATTTAAAAAGAAAAAGATTCAATATAGATTTTGCTATTGTCTGATATAAAGTAATATGTTGTCAGTCACTTTGTAAAAGAAAGAGTTCTGTCCTTTTACAAAAATAAATATGTGAAAATGTAAATCAGATTATATTAATGAATTGATTATATGCTAAAATGTTTGTTTTTGACAGAAATGATCTCATAACTGTACCTTCTCCATTTACATTTGATGGAAATATTGGAATTCTTAACTGAAATCTCTTGATTTGTATGATTTTTTTCGTTTTGTTGTAGAGATTTTTCTCTGTGTAAAGGTCACCTGATGACAGCATTCAGCTTAAGAAACCACGTACATGTGTTGTGTATAAGTCGTTTTTCCCAAAAACATTGAGTGTTGTGTCACAGCACCAATTCCATTTTAACTCGGCGGTTGATGGGCTCCCATACATGAATATGGATGTGAGGGCTGGGAGGGGTCTTCTCCGTGGACTCGGCTGATGTAAGTGATGTCAGTGAGAATGAAATCCCAGGCTGAGTTATAATACATCCTCACACAGCTTTAACGCACCAGCTCTCACAGCAAGCTTTTTGCAGCCTTTTCCTCTTTGTCTTTCTAATATAATATGGCTGAATTCAATATTAGAATATTGATATAACGTTTTATTTTAATTTTTCATGTTAATTCAGTTGCCAGGTTATTAAGTCCATCTAGCGAGACATTTTAACTATGATATAAATGTGGCGAACTGAGATTATGTTCTGTCACTGCATTGATGCATTATCGTCCACGTCTGCATTGGGATGCACCTTAGAAACGATTATTTCAACACCCCTCAAAGCAATAGATTACTGCAGCGATGACACGTTTTTGTATGTGGACCCGGAAGTTAGCATAGCAAGGGCTCCCTCAACTAAAAGCAATTGGATTTCGTAATAATCCAGAAAATATTCAAATAGGAGTACTTTGTAAGCTTTTGAAAATCCAACCAAAAATTCATTAAAAAAACAAAACATCGACCTTGAGACCAACTAACCAAGAAGTGCTAAAATGCTGACTCATAGACACGCTCTCCATGCCATAAAAAAAAATAAGAAATGAGATAAATCCTTCTAACTAAGGAACTTTCTAGGCGACTGGAACAGCTAGCGACGCTGAATGAAATATTCAAAAAAGTCGGCAGCAGACTAGAAGAAGCTGCATCTAGGATAAGCTATACAGAGGACCGCAATGACTCACTGCTTTCTTACATTTTGTAAAGTAATCAGTATCTACAATTGCCAAGATTTGGAATATGGAGATAGACGTAACATCTGAGAATGTATTTGTGGTTTTAAAAGTAAAAACCAGTAAGAGAAACAATCTCTTCTTCCTCCTTCCATATATTGATTCCACGTTCCTCCACTCCACCTCATTAACAGTACCTGACAGCCTTTAGCTGTCCTACATCCTTCACTGCTTCTCTGCTGCCCATCCTCTGTTGACTGGGGAATGATAAAGTGTCGAATGAGGGCAGTTAAAGCCTTTGACCCCAGGCTACAGTGTGTCAGACAAACGGGCTTCTTTGCTGAGCAATCTGGATGCCAGACTGACATGAATAGACTTGTCTGGAGGTCTGTTTTCTCACTGCTTACATCTCATAAAGTGAGGACTGACATACACTATACTTCTTTATTTGTGTTTAGATAAGCCCTCTTTTCCCAAGGACGTTCTGCTTATAGACTTCCTTGGATAAAATGTCAGCTTTAATGGCAACATTACTGAATCAAAACAATAGGATTATTCAGACTAATATGACATATTTACTGTCCTTTTTTTTTGTTCTGAAACAATATACTTTATATAAAAACCTATAAGTAAAACCAAACTTAAATGACCTTTTCCCCAAATGATAAATACTCAGACACTGAAGTGCTGTGCAAGTTCATTCATTTCCTATTAGAGTAGTTAGCCTGTCGGTACTAAATCAGTTCTGATGAAACTCGTAACTTCAGTAAAGATGCAATAAAGAAATTGAAGAAGATTAACTGACAATTGTTGACCGAATGTTTGGATGCTGAGGCAATTAACACTAAATCACAATCAAAATCGCACATTTAAGTTGAAAATTCTCATATTTTTGTCACACCTCAAATGAAACCTGGTACTCATAAAAAGCAGAGTCTCAAATAATTGGCCAGTATAAGCAATACACAGACTGCTTATTGTCTCCCCTAACACTGAGGAAATAACACAATGGAAACACTCCATGTATAAAATAATCATAAAGGAAGTGTTGAGATGTTGTGAACAGTATTCCTCAGTATTCATTATGGGTTTGTTTTTGCATGCTGGATGGTTTAATGCCAATTATACTTCCTGGCTGCTACATGGCTACATGTGTCTGCATGATGTAAATGTTGTCATCTGTCTGTGGCCACTTAACAAACCAAACATGTGTTTATAAAGACGCCCAAATATATTATAAACGGAACCAAATGTTTCTGTTCATGTTCACATCCCTCATTTGCTTTAGGCAGACAATTAGAGCAACTTGCACTAGTTTCCTGCAGTAGGAATGAGTCCTTAACCTGAAATGAGTTAGCATTACACACTTCCGGGCTCCCTTGTCTTGAGATCATTTGTTTTTTGAACGTGTTATTGGATAGATGCCTGAAATAAAGTCTCTGGATTCACATTTTGTCTACAAAACACAATATTGATCAAAATCCCATTGCTTTTAGTTTATTTTTTATATTTTGTGAAACTTTATTGACCCAACTATTGTATTCAAAGGATAACATATTCTAATGACTCATTGATAATGAATTACATATATTTGCAGCCATTTAAAGTGATCCTGTGGTTACATTTTACTCATGAAGTTCACATAAAAATGTAAATAAAAGATGAAGAGTTATTTAGCTGAATGAAACTTGTCCGCTCCCAGGTTTAGCATAACCAATTGGCCCAGTGTCTGTAAAGAGCTGATGTCAGATGTCAGTAATTCACAGACAGGCATAGTAAATGTCTGCTATTGCCTCTGGAAGGAAAAATGGCTGCTGTATATTTCACTGAGGTCACGTCTTTATGTCCTCCCTACTGATGAGATGAAGGAGAATAATCCGCTGTTAGAGACGGAGAGGAAAGGAAGGGGGTCTGCAGAGGAAGATGAAAGGGAGAGACAGCAGGGGGGAGGAAGTGGATTGAAACATATAAATTAGATGTCCTTTCTTACAACGCTCTGTGTGTCGCTCTCTATCCTCTTTACATTTATCATCAGCATGTTTGTGTGTGTAGGGAGTTCACCATGAGGTCATCAATTAAGCTGTGTGTGTGTGTGTGTGTGTGTGTGTGTGTGTGTGTGTGTGTGTGTGTGTGTGTGTGTGTGTGTGTGTGTGTGTGTGTGTGTGTGTTTTACCTGGGAAGAGGGTGCTGAGATCGACTGGAGGCTGGTTGGTATCCACGGTGATCTTAAACTTGGTGGTTTTGGCCGGAGAGGAAGGGACACACACCAACGCCAGAGGGAGACTGAACCTGGACTGAAGAACCCTGGGAACTCCTGGGGGAAGGAAACATACCGGAAAGGAAAGATTATCTAACAATATCTTTCCTTTTTGTGTTGCATCTCCCTCCATCTTCTCATGGAAGGTGTCCCCTCTCAAAGTTTACAGATATTTGCAAATTAATAACTACAAATATTTGGTTTGTACGTCTGCATTACCTACACCAATCATGGAGACGCAGCATTACGTTTTAAGCTCCATATATCTGGAACAAACTCCCAGACAAATTGTTTTAAATCAAGACTGAATATTCTTTTTTGTACCACTGTCTTTGATTAAATAAAATAACCATTCATGTGTTAAACTGCACTTTTTATTCTTGTATTGTATACCTGTCTTATTCTATTGCAGATGGTTTAAATGGTAATATATATATAACAGTTTCTTTACGTATTTAAATGTATTTGTTACGAGGTTTCTTTTGTACTATGACTTTAATGCTTTTGTTAATTGCCTTGTTGTTGAAATGTGCTTCATAAATGTTTTGGATATATGAAACCTGATTTGATTCTGTGTTCCTCAAGTGCGTATCTTCTTGGTCGAATGCACCTATTGTAAGTCGCTTCGGATAAATGCGTCAGCTAAATGCAATGCAATGTAATAAATAAACTTGCCCTACAGTAATTATGCAGGTCAACAAAAGGTGAAATGTTGTCAAATATATAAAAACATACATTACAATAATAAAAACTGATAAATCTGATCATTTTGAAAATTAATTCTTCTTCCGCTTCCTTTCGCTCTTCGAAAACTCATTTAAATGCACCTCCCACCTCCCCTTTAAGTGGCGCCACTTCCTCAAAACTCCCCTTTAATAAATCAAACAGGTCTGAACATCGTTTCCTTTCTATTGGCTTTGTCTCCAAACACCAGTCAGGTTTACATTACATCACATGACATGTCACTTGTTAGACGATTTTATCCAAAGCAACTTCCATACTCAATACTGTGAAGTGTCTCAGGGACACAACGACATGCTGACTGCAGTGGGGTTCGAACCTGTCCACTGCGCCACACACCTCCCGCACGTTTACATGTGTCGACCGTGCGGATGCAGAGGCCGAGAGACTTTACGACTCCAGGTTTGGAGATGTGTTTGTGGACGAGCCGCACGGGAAGTTTTGCAAAAAANTGTGACACAAGAGACGGTACGCATTTCAGATTGTTGCCGCGCATGCGTACCTGTGTACCAATTATGTGCACCCCTGTCCATAGACCTCTTAATGTTGCTCTCAAAGTGCACCAGATTGATGCTTTTAACTTCAATATTTAAAAAAAATCTGTGAGGTCCGCTCCCCACTTGTAAGAAATAGCACTTTACCCCTGCCTATATGCCGTGAGCTGATTATCGAGCCTTCATTGTAGCAATCACGGGTGTACTGTGTGTTTGCGTGTGGGGAGTGTTGCAGTAGAACATTCCACTGTAGCGCCCCTGGTGCTCGCGCTTTTGTGCGTGCTCTATAGTGCCCGTAATAGTGTTCACTGGAGTCCAAGACCTCAGCACCCCCACTCAAAATACCTTCCTGCGCCTCTGGTCACAGGTTCAAATCCCAATGCAGTCAGCATGTCGTTGTGTCCCTGCGCAAGACTCTTCACCCCAAATTGCCCCTGTGGGGATTGCCCACAGTATTGAGTATGTAAGTCGCTTTGGTTAAAAGCGTCTAACAAGTGACATGTAATGTAATGATCTTTACTTGTTTTCTTTTAAAACACTCGTATTTACAGGGCTACATGTACATCATACCTAGAGACATTGACAAGTACCAACAGTATATTTATATCTCGCCCTGTCAGTAAGCCTCACCTTCTTGGCAAAAACGGTATTGTTTTTGAAGTGGTGGAGAGACAATGCACAGCCTAAACCAGGAGATCACTAGGATGATCCGACACACCCAGGGTTTCACACAGTGCTGATGAAACCACTTCACACACACCTCTTTTATTCTGGCTGCAGTGAGTGGTAGCTTCTGAACAACAAGCTGGTTCAGAGACACACTCAGAGTGGATACATATGCATGAGCTCAATGTTTTACATACCATCTTTAAAATATGAATGCAGCTCTCCTGCGTTCATTTACAAACCAATTACACTGTCTGTCTGTGTTCTTTTACATGTGGTTCAATAAGCCGTTTTAGCGCAGTTTGAATTTGGCAAACAACCTGCTGGATTGCTTTCCTGCAGGTTTGAGAACATACTTGTATCCAAGCAAATGAAGCCAAAACATATACTTTCTTCCATGTTTAACAACCTCAGCTAAGCAAGACTGAGGTGAGGGAACAGTATTCATGGGAAACGTCTTCATTTGATAAATAACACAACAATGAGATAAGGGGTAAAAACTGCATCAGCCATATTACTGGGATTTCTTTGTAAATACAAAAAGGCCTTTTCAATCAAAAATCAATGATACAAATAATTAAGAGTGCACGATCTAAAAAATGAACTAATAGCGGTTATTTTTGAATGATATTGCACTTGTGATATGATTCATGATATTGAAGGGAATGAAAATGTTTGAAATATTTTTAATATAATCATTGAAGTATGGATCTTTACAAAACTTTTTACATTTTGTTATTACGTCTGTGAAAAATGTTTGTAGGCCGGGAAAAATTAATGTAGAATGATATTTGCATATAATCTGCCTATACCAAATGGATATTGCACTACTAGACCATTGCGATTTGGATACAATTCAGATTAATTGTTCAGCCCTAAAATATAAACCCCTAAATGCTATAAAAAAAGCACCTTTAAACAAATATGATGTGATATAAAGAGACACTTGCCTTGACGGCTGCAGACACGGCGGCGGTGGCTGCGATGCTCAGGCCTTGCTTCCCAAAGTTGACCATGGTTTCATAACTCCTCTCTTTGGCCTGCACGATATACTCATCAATTTCCTACAGGAAGACAATCAATTAGGTTTTCTAGTAGACCACTTAATCAAACACAACGAGGTGTGGCTGTAATATTCTTAGTAACAAACACATGGATCATCTTACCCTCTCTCTGGAGGACAGGAGGGGGTGCAGACACTTCCTGTAGATGAGACTGGCTCCTCTGGTGTAAGGGGACAGCAGCCAGATCACAAAGGCTATCTTCAGCTCGTAGTACAGAGGAAACCTGGACACACACACACACACACACACACACACACACACACACACACACACACACACACACACACACACACACACACACACACACACACACACACACACACACACACACACATCATGGCTATCATCCTCCCACACTGTGGTGTTCTTACAACTAAAAGATAGGATAACAATGAGCAAACAGTAGTTGGACTGTGCTTCAGTCTACCAAATTGGTGGTGGTGCTCTTTCACAAAAGTTTCTTTCACCTTCAAATGATGTTTTAAATGGCACTATATCAAGGTTAGGGATCAGCCCCAACACATATGGACGATCGGGACGTGTATTGTTGAGTTCAGTTCAGATTGTCCATTCAAAACCTCTCCACTTCCCCACATCCCACCACAAGGCACCCCACCTTTCAAATCTTTGAGTGTTCTTTAAGGTTCATGTGAGACTGACAGTTGAGCGGCCTGACCAAGCAAGGAGGCAGAGGCAGAACGTCCAAAAATATAACCCGACGTGGGCATTTATTAAAATATGTGCACATAGTTCACACAGCCTCAATCCTGCTGCTGCTGTTCACGTGAGCCCAGCCTGCAGCCACCAGGATCTCACACCCCTACCACTCTCAAGACACAGCACCTAAATACACACACAGACTAACAAGACACAGGTGATGGGGGAGCAATTAGACACAGGTGAGGGGGGAGGAGACAACACAGGGAACCAGGTGAACACAATTGGGTAATCAGCAGGAGGGAACACAGAGACGACCGGAAACAACAGACAAGATGAGGGGTGAACACTTATATAATTAATGCCATTTAATAAATAGCAGTAACGGCGTCTCATCATTACAGTTCAGTTAACCATTTTTCTGCCTCATTGCCAGTGTTTGAATCTTAATGTATTAATGGGATAATGAGACAATAAGCAGTGCACTACATTTTCCATAGGTGTACAAACTTGCTTCTTTTGCTTCTAGAAAATGTCCTTTTTTATTTTATGTCAGTCAGTCACGGCACCCCCGGAACACGGCGGCGTGCGTTGACTCTTCAACGCTTCTGTCCATTCACTTTGAATGGGGTGACGTCACATTTCGCCGAACTGTATTGTGGGAGCAAAGCGTAGCCAATCAAACCGCGTGTAGGAGCGTATGGAGGAGACAATAATCGTAGCGGTAGGGAATCACCCGGTGCTTTATGATCAGTCCCTGTTCACCTACCGGGATACAAACCGGAGGAGCCAGGCATGGAGGGAGGTGGCAGAGACAGTGGGTGAAACTGGTAGGTTTTCTCCTGTTTGGGGAGTATACATCCAGTGTACTTCGTTTGAATGGACAGCTAGCAGGCATAGACAGTATTTAGCCAGCATGGACTGTTGCGTAAAATAGCGCCATAGACATTAATGTCATAAATGTTCATCATATAAAGTGTGACATGTAAAACCTTTTATGCAATTGACAGGAGAGATCATGTGATCGGTTGTTGGTCGTGTTGCTCGCGTAAACTCCCCAAGCTCAAGACACGCCCACTGCCAAGCGTCAACGCACGCCGCCATGTGTAGGGGCCATCAGTCAGTCGAGTTGTAGGCTTTTAAAACATTACATCTTGAAAACGATGCTTTGTGAAATTCAGTGAATAGAGATGAAAAAGCCTCACACCAAAGACTAGCAGCGTTAAAGAGTAGGTTATGTAAAGCCCAAGGTTACACTTTGTTAAGTCCTTTATGTCTACCCATGCATTCTTTCATCTATCATTCTGATTACTAGAATGACACTCCAATTACATTTCTTAAAGGTCACCTACTATGCAATATTCCCTTTTCCATTTTTTTCCCTACATAAATACTGTATGTGTACCCTCTGTGTTAAGAGATTTGTGAAGTTTCAGGAAAAAAGATTATCTCTCTCTTTTTGCCCTGATCCATCTATATTAAAACCTGTCTGAAAATGAGCCAATCAGATTTAGGCGACTTTGTGATGTCACAAAGTTTTTTGGGGGGTTTGCAACCATTAGCCAATAGCCAACCAAGGTAACCCCTCCCACCTCATCACCTGAATCTCCTCCTAGAGCACCATTGTGTTCTTTTAAACCAAATATCTCTCAGAGGGGCGTGGGGAGAAGCAGTTTATTCGGATTTAAAGCTACAGACACTGAATCTGCACTTTTGGAACAGGGCTGAAACAGAGGAGTTTACGACATGCTACAATTATCTGTTTGGTATTAAAGCCAAACACTTCAGAGACATCTTTTGTATTTATCTGAGAACTATAATATATAAAAAAAAAAGAGTATAATAGGGGACCTTTAACTCTGAAACTCCATATACCAACCTAATTAATGATCACTGGTGAAAGTATTGTACAGTCAGTGAAGGTGCAGTGTACATATAGTAAAGTATGAGAGGGCAATTGAGACAATGAGTTTTAGATAATGATAAAAAGACATTGCTGTGTAACTATTTTTTTGTAGTTGGTAAACATGTGTATTTGTGTGGTACTCACCATGCAAGTGTTAGGTCAGTGATGGCCTCGACCACAGTGTAGAGCGCAAACACAATCCAGTACATCATCCATCGCACCTACACAGACAAACAGAAAAAACACTGAGCATCACAGCGAAAAGTGAAAAACTGCTTTAAATGGCACCGTGGTTGGGGTCGAATGGTGTTTATTGTCCATCGAGGTTCCTAACAATGTGAAAAGACTAGGAAGTGACTCAGTGTCAGCCATGATAAGAGCTGTTTGGATTCTCTAAATGATAGGAAAGGAGCTTAGGACAGGGGTTTTCAAAGTGTGGGAAGGTGAGCCTCCCCTCAGAGAACATAAGAACAGCCGTGCCCCCCCTCCCAATTATTATTGCTATTATTGTTGCTGTTGTTGTTGCTATAATACAGGGGTATTATTATCCAGTGGAATGCCCTTACCTACTGGCTAGTAGGGATGGGAAATTGAAAGCAAATGTATATTCCAAAAAACGGTTAACCGGTTAACCGAAATGTACATATCCTATAAAAAAAACATTGGTTAAAAAAAAAATGATCTTTGGAAATAAATACATACATGTTCAAATAAGTGTAGAAATCAAGTAAGTAGAATTTGTCAAATGTATTGAACTGGTGATCACAGTTTGACAGCTATAGGCCTACAGCTTTCATGTGCGATTCACAATCAGCCCAGCTGTAGAGAAGACCCTCTCAGCTGGAACGGAGGTTGCGGGTATAGCAAGGTATAGCATGTATATATAAGTTTAATTTGGCATAGTTTGACCTCTACACCGCACTCACTAACCTGGTCGAAATATTTCCTCACATTACTCATTTTTGACGCCATGTCTGTTGTGTAGGACTCTTCTTAGAGTGTAAATAATTACCGGACTATGACTGGTAAAATATGTTGAATACCGGCTAAACTAAATCTCTCCTGTCAAAATGTCTATGTACTTTGCCGCCACACACGGTTACCAAGCAGCGCTTATTGTTGTTTAGGCTGGCCATTCATGTGTCGCGAGTGTTAACAGGGGGCGGGGGAGCACGCTCATGAACTGTTAGCGCCGGAACCTCGCAACGGCTGCGGTGCACATTTGCGCCACATTTGGGTTTAAGATGAGGTTTGGATCTGCGTGTAGGGAGGGGCAGCAGCCATATCATTGGCGAGAACTAGCTAGATCTGATGGATTTGGACATAAACACGAGTGAAGTATAACCGGACGCGAGAGAGAGAGACCAGCACCTGCAGCTCTGCCCGCTGTAAGGGACAGGTGAGCGGAGCAAAACACACCTTTAGACGTCACCTAACACATTTAGCTATGGCACTGTCGTATATATATATACATTGAATTATTCAATTTAATAATATGTAATCAACTTAGGCATCACTCCCAAAAAAATTTTTTTATATAACTATAATAATAAAAATATTCATGAATACATGAATAATTATTTGAATACCTGAATAATTTCGAATATTCGATTAATCGTTCCCATCCCTACTGGCTAGTTCAATCAAAGTGGTTACTTTTTTGTGGCTGGGCAGTGTAGTCTTATTTGACTTTCTCAGGGCTTAAAACTGTTTTCTGGGGGCAGACCCCCACAAAGAAAAAAACATATTTACACACGTAAGGTCATCATCTTAACAGTTTATTATGCTCATCGAGTCATCCGTGAGCAGAGCATCAAGTTGGCATGCCTATTACAGCTGAATGCGGCGATTACCATCTTGTTGTCGCAAAACGCCTCACAAACGTATTAAGATCTAAAGCTTTAGTGTGTTTTGATTCAATACTGAGTGCAGCCAAACTTGACAGTCTCTTCTCTGTCATTGCAGAACACAAATATCTCATTCCTTCTGTCTACTTGGGTCCGAATGCTTCTCGTTTTGTGCCGTCCCGTTCAAATGAAATCGCCGCCAATCACATTTCCAAACTCGCGCCAGGGCCGGAGGAGGGGTTACAAGGCTCGCGTCTTGTGCTGCATTCACTTGCACTGGCAGTTGCCACCCCATGCCACCCTGGTAGATCCGCCCCTGCTTGGCCGGTACTTGCTTTTGATCAAAGTCAATGCGGAAAACCCGCACTCACACAGGTAGGTGGAGGTGAAGGGAACAGGGGCGGTTCTAGGGGGGCGGGGCAGTGGGGGCCAGTGCCCCCCTAACACTGACTTTGGACCCCCCTGTGTCCCCCCTGAAAATGAAAATAAAAAAAATTAAAAGGTTTGTGATTCAACGATTTCTTGGCTGACGGAATAGGCGTAACTAACGCTATTTGTCATTCTAGTCGGATCCGTTAGAGCAGGGGTTTCCAACATGTCGATCGCGAGCTATACCGGTCGCTCGCAATCCCTCAATAAGTAGCTCGCCGAGCAAATCCAAAATGTAAAAAAATACACATAAAAAAAAGGAAATGTAATTAAAAGAATCTACCCTATGCATAAACGAAACCTCAATCATAGCGAACTCTATCTACTTACTACAACTCTATATCTATCTAACACCCCTCCTCCCCCCACAATGAATATCGAACAATCACGTTCTTGCAACAGTTTAAAAGGGGAGTGATTAGTAAAATATGCATAAATAAAAAAGAAAGAATGCTAACTAGGTAACATAAGATCAGAATAAACAAGTTTCAATGATTTGTTATTGGTTGTGATCATATTCTAAAGATGTTTGAATTATTGAAAAGCATACAGCTCTCTTTCATATGAGTGTTGAGAGCTGTATCAAAGTGCACCAGATTGATGCTTTTCACTTCAACATTTAAAAACAAATCTTCCCGGGGGAGCCTGCCCTGGACCCCCCTAGAGGAGGTGAGGTCCACCCCCAAATAAAGCAGTTAAAATAATTAAATTGAATACATTATCTTTTTGTAAACACTGAAAACGGATCCCACAGACCCAAACAGCACGCAAAGGTTAAAGGTAAGCATATAATAATGTTCAAATGTGCTAAATATATACACTGCAAAAAACAAAAAAAAGAGGAGTAAAAGTATTAATTTGGACTTTACTGACAAGGGTAATCGCGACACTCGGGCAAAATACCGTTGGTGTGTCCGTGAAACACTGCTCTATGAGGTAATCATCACAGGTCACACAAAGTCACCACTTCCCGTTACCGGGCAGACCGATTGTAGGTGTTGGACGGTACACGTGACAGACGGGCGGACGGTGGGAGGTTGACGAGCGGAAAACTATACCTCTTTCGGGTCGGTTCCTCTTCGGAACCTCTACGGAAAATTTCTCCTCCCTCTCCCTCGCTCTCTCGTTCCTTTCGTTCTTTTCTCTTTATGTAAGATGGTGCAGAGACAATGATGATAGTGACGAACTCTCCCTTTCTTTCGTCCTAATTTCCTCTTGCTTTTGTCTTCTTATCACCTTTGTATAACACAAAAATAGGAGTTAAAGAGTTATCCGTAATAACTGTGTTGTATACTGTAAACAACGTTTTCGTGTTAATTCTAATAACTATTCCGTTACTCACTTCTGAATTATTTATTTATTTTATCTATATCTTATTTCATAATTAGTGTGGTATAATTGATATGTTTTACTTATGAAACTTTTTTTATTTTTATATGTATATATAAATAGTCAGGTAATGCTCACTGCACGTATAAGTGTAATTCTAGTATATTTTTAGATTATAGTTATTGTAGTTTGTAGTATATATCATTAACTGTTGCTATTATGCCTTTTCCGACTACTCGTGTATATGAATTGAGAATCGAAAACAGCCAGTGCTGGCCAAACAAAGACTCACTGTTCTCTACTCTATGCAGCGTCCTAACTTACCTGTCTCATCTTTATAGAAGTAAATGCCTACCAGGTCACATAGGATCGTCGCAAGTTCACACTCCGCGCTGGGGGCCCCCCCGGTTTCTCGAAGTTCCCTCCCGTCGTACTCTTTTATATGCTTCTTTGTACACAGATCTACTAAGTGATAGTCGATGAAAATATGTACGCTTCGTCATGTACCTTATGTAAAAATGGATTTCACTTTCACCTCTGTCGCAGACCGGTCTTTTCGCAGTGAACGTGTGAAAACCGACAGACACCTCTGGACTCAAAGGGGTGGAGCCGGTTTGTTTTTCGACCATTTTCACGAGTAAGGGAAGGTCAGACCGCCAAAGATCTGGTTAAACTGACCGCTCCCCGGGTCCGGACCCCGGTCAATAAAAGACTCCCCCCGTGGTTATTTACGGTCCTGCTTTTCTGTCAATACCTTCATCCCCACGTCGGCTTACCCTTTAAAGAACCGGCTTTTGGCTATGGGGCTCTTTATCCTTTGTCAACCAGGCTTTTGGGCTTCTTTACCGGCTTTTCCGGCTTTTTACTAATTATCTTTATATATTGCATATTCATAATAATATATAGTATCATATTACAATGCTAGAAACATAGTAGAAAAAAAGGTTACAACAGTCGACGGACTAATACCTTTTTCTGTACTAATACCCGTTTTGAATTGAATTTATTAATTAGTGATAATTACCCCAAGGGTATTTTGTAAATAAGTCGTGAAAACTTACGTATGTCATGCAATATGTAAGGTTCAGTTCACGTAAAAGAAAAAGAGAACAACCTATTGATGTTGTTTCACGTAAGTCTCTTGTTTTCGGTTCCACGGAAAATTTTGACGTATTTGTAGATCTGGTCCTCCGGATGTTGTTTTATCATATTTATTTCTGACATTGTCGGTCCGGAAGTGTTGTTGTTTACGTGGAATATTCACGTACGTATGTTTACACGTTTTGACCTATTTAGGGTGTACTTACATTGATAAATGTTTACTTTAAATGTTTAAGTTAAAGTTCTTTAGACATTTATTCCGACAGACATGGAGTATTCGTTTCACTCATTTGACAACATATCTTTCTAGTGTATGTTCACTCTTTGACCTATGTGTTTAGGTGTTGTAGTTCTGAATGTTTAATTAATGTTAAAGTTCCTTAGACGGTTTAATTCGCACCAGACAGGTATCAGACAGGAGTACTCGTTACATTTGTTGCTAACATATTAAATCTAATGGCTTTTCCATGTTTATATAACTCGTGACACGGACGACAGGTTAAAGGGTGATTCACTATTGGACTCTACCAACTTAATATTGAGTGTACTTTTAACAAGTCCTTTCCACCATATCTCATCCTGTGCACTCTTGATTCTATTCGAATACTAATTCGTTCGGAACAGATGAATAATTCCTTTTCACCCTCCAAGAAAAATCTACTTGTCCATTGAAGAGACGAAATAGTCGGGTATTCAGAACGAGGAGAAGAGTAGTCCGTGTACTTCTCCGTCGCGACTTTGTCAGAGAGCGACAGTCAACGAAAACTTAAACTAGGAATGAGGCGTATAAACAGGCCCACAAAACTAAAGTTCCCCCACCTCATTAGGGCTTTCACGCCACTTTCAGAAACCGTCAATGTCGTGGTGGGAGCTCTTTACAGTCGACTTGTGTCAAAATGTTTAGCGTTAGGCCCGGAGACAGCGACTATAAAAACTTTATAGCCAGGTTTCGCGGTCTGTACAACCGACACTCGGTCGGCGCTCGTACCCAGGCGCGCGGCACTAACAGCGGCGCAAAACTAATGCAGTAGTGTTTTTGTGCAATCCGGAATGGTTTGCATGGGACAAGGGACTGTAAGCCACTTATAAAAAAGCCACGATTTTTGCTTTCCCGGAAAAAATTGTTAAAAGCCGGCCTATTAAAAGCGCGCCGGCTTAATAAGCCACCGTAAGCGATCATACCCTTTATTAACGGTATTCTTTTGTTACGTAACCGTCAATAACCGATAAACAACAGTCATGTGTATAGAATAAAGTCTATGAATA